CTAGGCGAGCACTCTACCAGCTAAACTACATTCTCGGCTCATGAACACTTCTTTTTGTAAGATTGAGACCTTATTGCACTGTCTTCTATTTGCTTTATTGATCTAAATTTATAAACAACAAAAATGGGAGTCGGACTTAGGAAGACTTAACTCAGTGCTTAGTAGCACTTGCTCTTCTTATAGAGGATCTGGGTTTGGTTCCAAGCACCACCTATATGGTAGCTCACAACTGTCTATAGCTCCTAATCCAAGAGATCTGGTGCCTTCTCCTGGTTACATACATGCATACAAGCATTCATACACATAAAAATTAATCTTTTACAGAAAACATTAAGAAACATGTATTTATTTTCTACCTCATGCAAGTAACTGAAGATTCATTGATTCAAGCAATATTTAATGATCCGCTTCTGTTTCTTAGTGATAATTTATCTTGCATTTCTAATTTGACAGAACTAGATGACAGTCAAGAGGTAGGACCAAAACAGCCCAATTTTATGACAATCATAAAAATACTTCCTTAACTCTGCCTTATTCTAATTGCTGCATTTACATAGTACCTACAATACAGTAGGTTCGTTTAATTTGAACCCAGGGTAACTGATTAGGTAGTGCAGAGAGTAGATGAGACTTTATCGGCATGATAAATTAAGTGCCTTACCTACAGTTAAATGGGAAACAGACTGTTTGAATTTACATTTTTCTGTCTCCTCTTGTACACAGTAGACTTCTTGTATCCATAAGGATTCCTATGGTGTTTTTATTTATAATGTATCTCAGATACCAGCATAAAAGATTTTGTTACTTACTTTCTAAATTAGTAAATGAGCATGATCAATGAAGAACTGCCTGCTGGTGGTTGTCATGTTGCCAGCAGTGACCCACAGTGAACTGTAGACTACCACAAAGGCCACTTGAGGGGACCTGTGAAGCAGACATAAATCAGCAAGCATGGAGAGCTGATATCCCTTTGTCAAAGGACCGAAGGCCTTTTTTCTTGAATGGCTTCCAAGTACTCATTTATTGTCATATAATTGATATAAAAGGGCTTCTCTTAGAAAAATGAACAGGGTATAAGTTTTCTTTTAAAAATGTTTTTGTTGAATTTAGAAAGTAACAGATAAGCGCTTATTCTTTATGATCTTAGATAAATGAAGCATTCTTATGATAACCTCTTAAAACTGAAAATTTGTGCTTTTGGTTTCAGTCAAATCCCTGTTTAGTATGAAAATCTCCTGTTTCTCAGTTTCTATCAGATTTCACTGAAATTCCTAAGGACAGCTTTTGTTTTTGACCCTCTTGAGGATCAGAGTCACTGTCTATAGTATAGAATGCTATCTGTCCGTGCCTGACAAAGGGCAGGGATAGCACTTGAAAGTACTGGTCGTTGGAGGGGGAGTAAAAGGCACTGCACTTGTGTCCCCTGAGCACTGAGTGCCTGCAGCAAGCAGACAGGAACCTTCTCCAGTGGTAAGTGAAACCCAAAGTTGGTGTTCTCTCCCAGGCAGGGTTGACAGTTCTTACTTCTGACCTGGGAAATTCTTGGCGCTGCTTTTTGCTTTGCTTTCCTGTCGTTATTGTTTTAGTACAATGAGGGTGACTTCATCCTAAGGGGGTTTAATTGTTAGTTAAATATTGAAAGTGAGTAAACATAGGAATCCATAATCTTACACATTTATAAAATGCTTAATTGTCTTGCTGATGCATAGCAGAGTACTTTGCTTTGTTCCTTTATAATCAGCCCTTAATTCATTTTCTCCAAGGAATGAGTTTATTCATTTGGCATCCTTTAGTTAGAGTAGTATAGTGTAATTGGAGTTTATGATGCTAATCTCATACCCATACAAGATTTTCAAATTAATGAGAGATGGAATTCTTGGGTGTTTTTAGTATTTGAAAATACCTTACTGAATTTAGTTCTTTGAAAACTGATGGTTTTAGTTATAGCTTAAAATAACATTTGATATCTCTATAATGTATAATTGTATCTTTATGTATTTTTTGTTTCTAAGTGATGTAGTGAAATACAAAATGGTTTTTGCTTTTTGTTTTAAAAGGAGTATAAATATATAAATTGTTAGCTAGTCTATAACTAATGTGTATGCATGCATTAAGAAATTAAAAGCGCTATAAATAACTGTTACAATAATAACCCCCAAACAATAAGATTATAGGTAATTTTATTTTCTTTGATTTTTTTTAACCTTCTGGGTTTTCTAAGATTAAGATTATACTATATTATTTTTATATGCTGAAAAAATAATTTAAAAATAGTGTATTTATGTTCAGAAAGCCAAACTTGTGATGAGAACACATTTTGTTCTTGATGTTCATGTATTAAGAATAAGGGCTAAAGGAGCGTACCTCCTTAGGAGACCCTTCCACCCTCAAGGGTTCTTTTCTCACTTTTCTTTAGTAAATGTACATTCATTCTGAAGAGTAGGGATGGGGTAGGAGAGAGAATGAGACTATATACTCACTTACCTCTATGGGTTAATGTGTGCATCTCTAATTCGAGCCTGCTTTGTTGGATGGCTCTGTTTATTGATGCAACTGGCCTCTGTTGGCTCCCTGTCTGTCTGTGTAGCTGAAGGAAATCTACTTGTTAAAAGCCTCAGTTACCCAGCAAGGTTCTCACTAGTTTTGTCTCGTGTTTTTTTTTTTTTTTTCTTCTCATTTGACTATGAATATGGCTTAAGATATATTTATTTCATATGAAAGCAAATCTTTATTGTGAGTATATGTTTTAATAATTAATTAGGCATTGTATTAAAAATCTGAATATGACCACAATTTGAAACTATACCACTTTGTGAAAGTACCAGAAACCAACCTGTTCTAAGTTGTAAATTACTTGTGGAAAAGTATTTTAGAGCATTTTTGTAAGGATGATGTCAGTTTGTATTTAACAAGCTTCTGAATTTTTAGAAGCTTCAGTGTTTTCATGAAAGCCCATGTGTGACTTGTGTTCCGTGATTGATATCTCAGCTGAGATTCTGAAGTTAGATTTCTTGTTTTAAAAAGACATTTTTCAAATGTTTTCTGTCTTTACAATATTATAGTCAATATGGTTTTATTTAGAAAGGATGGGTGAAATCCTAAGACTGAGAGTTAAAAAACATAGGCTACTAAAAATTGTCTTTAGTATTACAGAGTCTCAGAAGTTATTAGATCTTGTGAGTTAATATTTTCCTCCAAGTTTAATTAATTTAATTTTGTTTATTATTTATTTAGTATATTTCCCTCACCAAATTGCTCATAAATGCACATCAATGTGTGTGTTTATTCATATAATCACATTTGAAGATGATTAATTTTATTTAAATGTATCTGTGAAGTATTGACTGCTGGTGCTTTTATCTTCTCTTTATCTTTTTGGGGAGTATGTTTGAGGCAGCATCACAGTATATAGTTTAAAGCTGGTTCCAAATGATCCCTTTGCTACAGCCTCCAAATACTGAGGCTTTGGAGAACTATGGCCTATGCCTCTATGCTCAGCTGATGACAAGCACTTTAATCACCATTTAAAAGGAAGCCATTTTAAAATGAAGATTATTTTACTTGATAAATGTCTGAAGTTTCTTTGAACAGTAAGACAGGGATAATTGCTCTCTGTCTGAGGTGCTTGTGCCTGATTTTTCAGACCCGTCTTTCTCAGTCCAACAATGGTATTTAAACAGGCACATATTTTTCTTGAAGACTTAGAGCTGAGGGAACTTTTGTGTTCAAATAAGTGTATATTTTGAGATAAACTTTGAGTGTGGGCCCAGGGCTAAGTTCTTTTCTGATGAGGAGCACTTGCCATATGACCACAGTGACCTGGGTTCAACCCTCAGTACAGTCAGTTATTAACAACAAAAACTGTGTATATGTGTGCACAAACACTTGAATATCCAGAGAACTTTCGTCATTGTAGAAGGCACCTTTGATAGATAACTTCTGGATTCTCCAGCCTGCATGAAGTTGCATACCTGTGCTTGCTTTGATTGAGATTAAGAGGTAAACAGTAACTACTTCCTTAAATTTTTTTAAAAACGTTTTTAAAGGAAAATTTTAAGTGCTGTTTTAAAACATAGTATATTGTTCATCCAGGTAACTGTCACTTACTTACCTTAAGCAAATATCAGCCCTACAGTCTTTAGGAATTTAACTTTGTATCTATTTGCTAAGATTTGCCAAGCTAAGCATCTGTAAGGTCAAGGTACTAACATCAGAAGCATTTCTGAACAAAGATGTTGCAGTTGGTGGGGTGGGTCCCACTGTGTTCAGCTGTTGTATAAGCTTGCAGAAATAGTATCATCTTGACTTTAATCTTTCTGTTGTTCAGAGGTAGTGTGCATATTTCTGTTTAACCCCTGGAAATGTGCCAAAATAATTCATAATCCTTATCTCCATCCTTATTACCTTGATTCTAAATAGTCTGTGAATAAGATTAATGAGTTGGTATTCTTACTGGTGGATCCAGTGAAAAGGAAAAGTTTCTTTCTTTGATTTAAAAAGTTTGGAGGTGCTACCTGTTTGATAATTTGGAGACTAAAGTCTGTGTTACCTTTCATCTCTTTGAGAATACATTTTACATAGCATCAAAACATAGAGTGGGAGACACGAGTCTGAATGTTGGTGGCCTCTTCAAGTTATGGTTCTTTTTCAAGTATAAAATGAATGTATGGGTTGTTGTGTAAGTTAAATGAAACAGGGCATTTAACAATTATTTAGCAGCTATTTAAAATGTCAGTTGAACTCTGGGATTGAGTAGAGTCATGTCCTGAATTTCAGTCCTCTACTGATTTGTATAACTGGAGTCGAGGCGTACGGTTAACATTTACCACATTACTTTGAAAGGAGATCCAGTCTTAAGTCATACCAGGTCTCTGCTGGGGAGTTAGAAGCGCTAAAGCTTGAATAGACAGCACACAGAGAATATGTTTGAACAAAATCTGTTGAAACAAAACTTTGAAAAAAGTAATTAATGCCTTACAATTATTTTTTATTGAATATAGCAAACTCTGGCCTGTTCCATTCTAACTGCACTATTGAGTGAGTTCTCGAGTTCAAGTAAAACTAGCAACATTGGATTGAGTATGGAATTCCACGGCAACTGCAAACGAGTTTTTCAGGTATTGGTATATTTGTTTTAATTATTGGACAGTCCACTTTTTGCCCAGTTTGTTCCTAATGGCAAAAGTATTCGTTTTGGATGTTGGATGGGTTATGCCTGAAGACTTGGACTGAGATTTCATAGGATGTAGTAAATTGGTAAGTTTGATTACTGTAATTGATAAGTTGAAGTTAATTATTCAGTTCTCCTCTTTAAACGAGAAAAAGAGTATTAAAATCAGTAGTCCTTAGTTCATCATTTTATCATGTTCAGATATAACTATTTCAATTGATAGGATTCTGCTGGCCTTAAAAATAGGACTGGCACAATGCCATGTATTTAAAATGTTATTGCAGATGGTGTGGGCTCTTTGTCTCTCGCGTGTATTGTTTGGCTCTGGAGTAAAGTTATGTGAAGGCATTGGCTTGAGTCCTAAGGCTCTGCACTATAGCAACTGACTCTGCGAGCTCTACAGTCACATTTGCCCTCGGAGGCTTTCCTGCATGTAACAGTAAATGGTGGCACTTGAAAGCACACTGATGTAAATTTTGGTTAGAGGCCTCAAGATGGAAAACATTCTTAAAGAAGTAGAGCAATCTAATGGAAACCTTAAGGTTTGTGATTCTAAAAAGGAATGCATTTTGAGTAAGTGTCATGCAAAACTTTGTGTGATTTATTGACCGTAGGAAGAAGACCTTCGCCAGATCTTCATGTTAACAGTTGGAGTTCTGCAGGAGTTCAGCAGGCGGGAGAGCCTCAGTGCTCAGATGTCTTCAGTGTTTCAGCGGTACCTTGCATTAGCCAACCAAGTCTTGAGCTGGAATTTTCTCCCTCCAAATTATATCCTTTTAACAACGGGAAGGGTTGATTTGTGATGACTTTGTAGAAGGCTTAATCATGAAGCTCAGGCCTTTATGTCCTTGGTTTTTTTGTAAAGCATTCTGTTGAATGGAAGCTTTTTGCTTCGTTTTGGAGAAATGGAATTCTATTATACCATAATACAGTAGACTATGTAGAACATGTAAAGTTGTATTTACTACATTGTTGAAGAGGGTTGAGTGTATGAAAACATTTGGTGTCTAATAAGGCTGTTGCTGACTGAGGAAGAAGACAGTATTTCTGGAAAGACAAAACGTGCTAAATGCATTTTTATTCAGCCGTAGAACCATTTTCTCCTTGGATGTGATCAAACTAAAAATTTTTTAACTGACTTTCTTTAGTTAGAAAGGCTCTGGTTTAGTCATTATGAATTGTTTAAGTGTGTGTAGTAAGTTAGTGGTATGCTTTCAGTCTAGAGCATCTGCTGCTGAGTGTTATATTGTGTCTTAGGGTGCTGTAATGCCTTCTTGAAGCACTGTTCAATCAGGCAGACCTGGCTTCAAGCCTCAGTTGGTCTCCAGCAAATAGTTGAACCTTTTAAATCTTAATTTTTTCCAAACAGAAAGAGAGGATGTTGGTCGTTGACTAAATTAAATGAAACAGCATACTTAGCACATCCAGAGTTAGTTGCTCTTATGGAGCTCTTGATATCTTTGAATAAAATAGTCCTACAGTTAACGCCCCATTTCATGCTCCTTTATAACTGTCCCATGTCATGTCATACACTTGTGCCTGGCACAGAAAATTAAATATAACCTGTTCTAGCCCTTTCCTGAGGCTTTAGGACAATGTTTCAGAGGAAAATGCTGCTTCTAAGAAGATTAGTAATGGATGGTGAGTTTTGTCAGACCTTTAGGATGAGGGTCATCTTTGTTCCAACAGAGTCAAGACCTGCTGTCCTCAATGAATACATAGGTTTGAGACTGTAAAACTGTGAGACTTAAGGCACATGGTAAGCTGTGATTTCTATTTTCAAATTACTATATTTACCTACTAGAAAACTAACTGTGAAAGGCAGGTGGTATGAGATAAAGTGAGCCACTGACTTGTTAAACCAGGAATTCTCCAGGTTTCTTTGCCAAAGGCAGTCACATTGCAATGAAGCTTGCTATCAAGTTAACCATATTCTCCTTTTATGCCTATCCTTTATCTTTTACCCATTAACCAACTTTATATATTTAATTTATAAATTTAATTCTTTAGAGTTACAAGGGGCTCATACCTTCTTTTTTGTTTTGGATTTTTGAGAGAACTTATGCTGAAGCCTAGGCTGGCCTTGAACCCACAACTATCCTTCTGCCTCAACTCTCCAGTGTATTAAAATTTTGGCCCCGAGCTGTCACCCCTAGGCACATGCTTTCTTAACTTCATTTTTAAAATACCTTCTTTTTAATATAATACTGTTTACTTCACGTTTTATTTTCTTTCTTTTATTTGTCTTACCCTTTGAGGTAAGACAAAACCTCAAAATCTAGCAATCTGGTCTTGAACTCATGATCGTGTTTTCTTCATTCTCCCAAATGGTAGAATTACAGGCGTGTGTCCACCACCTCCAACTTGGTTTGTTTGTTTCCTTGATATATATATTTATTTACTTTTATTGTATGCATTTTTGCCTTGTATGTGTGTCTGTTCACTACACTTGTGCCAGGTCCCTATGGAGGTCAGATGAGGTTGTCAGATCCTCTGGAACAGGAGTTACAGTGGCTGTGAGCCATTGTGTGGGTGCTGGGAATCCAACCCAGATCCTCTTGCAAGAACAGCCAGTGTTCTTAACCACTGAGCCATCTCTCTATTCTGTTTGTTTTTAAAGGATGGTTGCCAGAATTTATTCAAAAGAGTCTATTATAGTTGAAGTGCCACTGTAGCAGGATCTTGTGAAGAGAGATTAGACTAGTTTTTTGTTTTTTTTTTTTTAAACAAAACAAACAAACAACAGCAACCAGAGGAGCAATCACTGAGCCTTCACGGACATGTGTTAGTTCCTCTGCAAATATGTTCTGGTTGTTAGCTTGCTGTTTTTATGGAAATTCTAACAGTGGGAGTGGGGATGTCTCTGACTCTTTTGCCTGCCCTTGGGATCCTTTTCCTCCTGCTGGGTTACCTCACTCAACCCTGATATAAGGGTTTGTTTCTACCCTAATTGTAATTTATTGTTGGGCTGTTTTTTTGGTTTTTCAAAATAGTCTTTCTTTGTATAGTCCTGGATGTCCTGGAACTAGGTCTAAATCAGGCTAGGCACAAACTCATAGAGATCCACCTGCCTCTGCCTCCCAAATGCTGGGATTAAAGTCATGCACCACTATTGCCTGGCAGTCTTATTGTAATTTGTTATGCTATGTTCAGTTTATGGCCCTGGGAGACCTGCTCTGTTCTAAAGGGAAATAGAAGGAGTCGATCTGGGGGATGTGGGAGGTGTGGGAGAGAGGAGTAACTGCAGTTGGGGTATATTCTATGAGAGAAGAATACAAAAATAAAAAGAACAAAACCAAAGGCAGGGGTGGAAAGATGGCTTAGCATCTTCTAGAGTACCAGGGTTCAGTTCCCCAGCACACAACCATCTAACTCATTTCAGGAGCTCTGATGCCCTCTTCTGGCCTACTTGAACACCACGCATTCATATGCATGGAGCTGTGCGGTGGCGCACACCTTTAATCCCAGCAATCTGGAGGCAGAGGCAGGTGTATCTCAAAGTTTGAGGCCAGCCTGGTCTACAGAGCTAGTTTCAGCACAGCTAGGGCTACATGGTATCTCAAAAAATGAGGCCAGCCTGGTCTACAGAGCTAGTTTCAGCACAGCTAGGGCTACATAGAGAAACTCTGTCTTGGGGGAGAAAAAAAAGAAGAGGTCATATATGGTAGTACATGCCTGTAATCACAGCATTCACTTGGGAGACTGAGGAAGACTACTCTGAGTTGAAGGCCAGCTAGAGTTACATAGCAAGACTGAGTTTCAAGAAAACCAGTAAAACAAAAAGACATTGAAAAAACTTGGAACAGATTTTAAAAGTACCAGTCCATATGGAGCTATCAAAACATTAATTATGTATGTAGTGAAATCAACAAAAATTACACTGCATATATCATAGCCAATTCTAAAGTGTCTGTTTTAGGGGAAAATATAGTTGGCAGAGAGTTACTGTTTTGAAAAGAGAAACAGTTCCCTAAGAGTTTGGAAACAAAGTTTGTCTGAAAGATACACACTCATAAAATATTTTATGAAGTCCTTAGATAAAGCGTTGGAAAATAATTACTGCAGTGTTACTGAAGGAAGATGTAATTCCTCTAAAGGTCTTGAGGGCTGCTGGATGAGGTGTTCGTCCTGTGATCTCAGCCTTCAAGAGGTCATCAGAAGAATCAGAAGTTCAAAGTTATCTTTGTATACATAGTGAGTTTGAGGCCAGCCTGCTATACATGAGACCCAAAGAGAGGGCCAGGAATCAGAAAGGATGGCTAATAGTAAAAATGCTTGCTACTCTTCCAGAGAATTCAAGTTTAATTCCCATCACTGATGTTGGGCAGTTTGTTTGGCTCCAGGGGATCTAATGCCCTCCCTTGTGGTCTCCATGGATATCCATACCCACATGCACAGACACAATATACATAAGTGATATGTATATGGTGGCACACACCTTTAATCTCAGCACTGGGGAGGCAGAGGCAGGCGGATCTCTGAGTTCAAGGCCAGCCTGGTCTACAGAGCGAGTTCCAGGACAGGCTCCAAAACAAATACAGAGAAACCCTGTCTGGAAAAACAAAGATTTGGAGACACTGGCTTTGAACTCTCAATTCTCCTGTCTCAGCTTCAAAAGGTCTCTAAATATTACTGCGTATTTTCTTATTGTGAAGGTACTAGGGACTTAGCCCAGTGGTAGAGTTCTTGCCCTACATGTGCAAGGCCCTGGGTTCAATCTCCAGCACTGCAAAAAATATTTTTAATTGTACTAGGAGTCACGTAGAGAAAGCTGTGATACCATTGTCAGTACAAGAAACAATATAGCTGACCCCCAGACACGTGCCTTTAATCTTAAGTGCTTGAGGTAGAATCATAAGGATTATGCACATCTCTACATAGTGAGATCTTGCTGCAAAAACACAACAAACAAAAAAATGTAACTGATCTGCATTATGTGTTCACATTTTTGTCAGTTACTTGCATATGCATTTTCTGCAAATGATCTCACATGATACATGGCCTTCTGTGATTGGCTTCTTTCACTTTTAATGTACTCAAAACCTTATATGTTCTAATTGGAGTACATAGTCAACTCCTATGCAGAATGTACGTCAGTATTTCATTCTTTTTAATATTTAATTTAGTATTCTGTTATGTTGCATACCAATTTTTATTTATTGTTCATCAGTTACTGAGTAGTTATTGCCAATTTTTGGCCCCTAAGAACAATGTTGATGGGTGTAGGGTTGTAGCTTAGTGATGGAGGGCTTGCTTGGAATGTGAGGGTTAAATCCATGGCAAAAGGAAAAACAGCATGTTGCTACCTTGTTGTGATGCTTACTGTCAAGTAAGTTGTGAGCTTGACAGACTCTAGAATCGCCCAGCAGATGGGCCCTGGGCATGCCTGTGGGGGTGGTCATTTTGATTTCATTAATTGATGTGGGATAACTCTTCTTCCTCTTTCATTTTTCCCCTCCCCCTCCATTTTTTTGAAACAAGATCTTACTGTGTATCCCTGGCTGGCCTAGAACCCCTTACCTAGACCAGGTTGGCTTCAAATTCCCAGAGATCCTTTTGCCCAGTACTCAAATTAAAGGCATGTGCTGAGCTATGTAAGTGGAGAAAGCAGAGTGGGCCCTTGCTTACAGGCATCCATCCCTTGTTCCTTCAAGCTCTTTCTGCCTTTATTTCCCTGCCCTGGGTGGGGGGGCTGTTTCTTGACCTGTGAGCTAAAATAAACCTTTTCTCCCTTCAGTTGCTTTTGTCAGGGTTTTATTACAGCAACA